GTAGCACTGTAAGACAGTGCAAAGCATAAGCCTAAATAGCAGTAGACAGCATGAACAAACCATAACCTCAAAATAACTGCACAGGGTGACTTTTCAAGAGTAATGAATCTGGAGGTGGCATCAACTTTGTTACTAATTCTAATCAGTCAAAGGTGGGGTTGTAACTTTACCCGCATATCAGCAACGGCTTAAGGGAATTATTCTGTCATTTTCATAGGCTGCATGGTGCAAATATTAAGCTTGATAAAACCTTTCATTCTAGCTGCAAGAAAAATTGCTGATGGGGTGCACTGAAATAGTGTCTACGCTCCCAGCCGGGCAGAGGAGCCACCTCAGCCTGTGCTCTGGAGAGGAACAGTCCACACGTACCAGGAGCCAAAGCATGGTCCCCACTTGTTGAAGCAAACAGGGCATAGTGTCACGGGTGTGACCAAGTCCCCTAACAGCCTAACCCACGGGCAGATACCCAGCATCCCCACCCCTGCGCAGGTACCTTGCAGCAGGAGGCCAGCGGTGTGTCGAATTCAATGCAGACAGAAAGTGGCTTAGCAGGCTGGCCCCTGCTCACAAGCCGCTCTTCGCTCTGCAGTGTTGCTCAAATTTCTGTGCAGTTCAGCTCCTTGCCTGTTGAACGGGAATAATAAGCATTTACAAGATAAATTAAAGCTTTAATTACACTGGTTGTATGGTAACGGGAGTATCCAAAGTAGTATCTAATTGCTGATTTCAGGTACATGGAGCTAATCCCAGCACTGTCAGCAGGACCGTTTTTGTTCCCGTTTGAAAGCAAAACAATAAAAATGTTGCCATGTTAGGTTGGCTGTCTCAAAAAAAAAAAAAGCCTCCTTCACCTAATCCACATAATTTAGTTTGCCTCCTCCAATATAACAAGGACCAAAATTCAGCTTGCAACCCTGCCTGCATAGTTCTGACACAGGAACAGGGACAGGGGAGCAATAGGAACGGTATCCACCATGGTGTGTCTTTCACAGAGAAGTGGCAACTCTTACGACACTGGTTACAGCCCACAAAGCTCTAAATGAACATTAAGCGTCATAAAAAAACTCACAATGAAGTAAGACAGCAATTAATTTTACTTCTTAGGTAACCTGCCCAGCAATCAAGTATTGGCACAACACTCAGTCATGATTCCCTAGCCTGTGCAAACATAAAACAAACAGACCGAGACGCGGTCATTAAGACCTAACAGAAAGCTGCAACACATACAAAGGCTCATTACTGCTCATTAAAAATGCTTCGAGTTTAAAGGAGTGAGACAGCAGTTAAGGGCAACCATCAGAGGTCTCATCAGCTCACGGCATATTTAAAATACAGTATGCAGCGAGGTGAACAGGTGCAAGCGCAAGCCCACTGCAGGGCAACCTAATCCTGCCGCTGCCGTCCCCCCGTGCCAGGCAGCGGGGACAGATGGTGCGGGGAGCTGCGGAGCCGCCGGGCCGGGACGTGCAGGGGCAAGCGGCTGCCCGGCCCAGCGGGAATGCTCCTCCGTCACCACCCACTGCCCCGGCTTCACTCGATGCCCGTCAGAGCAGGGCCTGAGAGCCCAGTCTCGAGGTTTTCGTTAGGCTCCGATGCTCCTTCCTAAATAGACCATTCCTTCCAGTTATAGTTTTAATTCGTTTAGAATGAATTATTTGGGTCTCTTAATTTCCCGGCTTATTTTGAAAAAGTCCAATTAATGCTGAGCTAAGTAGCTCCAAAGGCTCCCCAGCTCTCATCTACCCTGAAGGGATCCAATTAAAATGAGACACTAGTCAAAATGTCAAACCACAATCATTTTTAAAGCCATTGTGCAACAGATCTATGGCTACATATAAACCACGCAATTAGTGAATAAATCACGCAATGCTTGGAAACCTAAAGCCGAAAACGCCCTCACTCAAGATGCAGCCTCCCCTGTCAACTGACAGCATGTTCAGAACTTACAACAAATAATAAAAGTCACATTTCCTTTTACAGGACAATTAAAACCATGGAGTATAATGAAAGATGTGTAAATTAGACCGTCATACATGATAAGGGCTTAAAAGCAGAAAAGACAGTCCAGAAGCTCTGCTGAGTGTGGAGTTGAAGGACCTCTGAGCCAGCGCAGGCGGAGGCTGGTAAAGCCGCAGCATGCGGAACTGCAGAACTCTCTCTGTTCTGCTTCGACAGCCATGCAGGCGCGCTGGCAATCACTTCAAGGGTCTCCACAACTGTGACACACTTTAGTCTGGAATCCCTGTGATCCACTTACAAATTTTTTCTGTATTAGCTTTCTCAAACCTTTAGAGAGCATAATAAGGTCTCCCTCATACACACGTCCCTCACTAGACAAAGTCTTTTTCTTGATTTCAACTTACTTGCTTGAAAAATCCTAACTCTTTCATTCTAGCTTTGAAAGTATTGTGTCTAGCTGTGGAAAAGAAACAGGTATTAAATCATTGTTGGATGGGAGACTAAATTAAAAACTGAGACAGGTCAAAATTTCAGATGAGGGTTTGTTTTTAATGAGCTGTAACTCTAATGTAATTCAATTAATCTTCTTGACTTCTGCAGAAAATTGCCCCCCTCTTTCCCACCAGTCAAACGAATTTTTCCAACCAAGCAGCAGGATCACTGAGTACTTGGTGTGAGCACAGGAAAGTAATACCGTTTCAAAGGGACTTCAATCTCTTTTTTTATTTAATCTCATTGCTCTTGTAATGAAAACTCCAAATTTCCCACGCACTTCGAAGTTAAATTTCAGCAGCAGAGAAAGGGATTAGAAACACGTGAGTCTTAGGCATGGCACGCTCCCTTGCGGAAACCCACCCGGGGGTCACTGGTCTCGGCGTGCCACCAAGGAGCAGCAAAGGAGCTGGTAGGAGACCAGCCCAGAGGGGTGCCGGAGACAGCAGGGAAGACTCCGCGGCAGCACGGGCTGCTGCCGGCCCTCTCTGCCCCCAGCCTGCCGCTGCCTCCCTCCCGGGGCAGGGAGGTCCTGTCGAATACTGCACCCACGCTTCTGGGTCTGCCCAGAAGAGCACTGCAAAAAACAAATGACCCTTTGGGGAAGCTGCTGCACAACTCGTGCGTTTCTTATATGTGTAGTGCTCTGTGAACTGCCAAGTTCCTCGCCCTCGGTCATTTTGTGGGAAAGAAGATCTCCTTTAGACTAAAAATCGCACAGGACATCTCACAAGAGATGATTTTGTCGTATGGTTTCATGTCCTTCAGCCCTTCTCACCTGTGAAATGAACAGAAAAATGGTAAGATCTTTATATTTCCATTTGTGTATTACTTGAGAATTGAAATGCAAACGTGTCTTGTCCTGCAAAAACAAGAAAAACAAAGGCATGAATATTTCTGTCAGGCAAAAGGAAAGAGAAATTAAGATCAGTAAGCACAGTAGAAGTACGGTCCCATTTCTGCCTGGCTGTAGCAGGTAGGTACAGGGCAGTAGTTTTCATGCTAAAGCTTTCCCTGACAGTCACCCCTCCGCAGGGTCTGAGGTGCTGCAGCAAGCGGAGGGAAACGATGGAGAAGCACTGAAGTACCACAGTGCGGTAACAGCTGGTAAATGTCTTCCTAAACATAATGTTATCAGTGAAAAATGTAGAGTACCAAGAAACAGCAATTTTCACCCATCAGAAGCAAGTTGTCTGAGCTTGGAGAGGAGGCTCGAGAGAATGAGGGCAGAATTATCTAGAGCAGTGTGCACAGTCCTGAAAAGGATCACAGACATTAAACTACCAATGTTTGCTCTTCTTGAGACTCTCCATGTGACTTGACATGATGCCAGCAGCACAGAGAAATGATGTGCATTTCTACAGACTGCCATTTGTGCCCCCCAAATTAAACCATTTTAATTGCTTATGATTACCTTCTAAATAACTGCTGTGTGGCAGGCTTGTCCAGGAGTTATGTGTCATTATTGACTAAGTATTTGACATATACTGCTTAGCTGATGTTTGCTTAGTAATACTTAGTTATTAATGTACAATTAAAGGAAAACCATCACATTCTCTCCATGTACTCCCATTTTGTTGGCAGCATGTTTTTGCCTCTTAAATTCACTTCTCCTGACCCTTTTCCTGGAAGGCTGGGTTTCCCCTTCCACTACTGAGCATTAATATTTATTGTAGTCTTTCCCTGAGTTGTCTGTCTGAGATGGGGCAGGTTCTCCAAGTCACAGGTCCCTGTGGCCACGGCCAGGTGTTTCTTCACCCAGAGGACACTCTGGACTACACTTTGAGCTTGGAACAGCCACCTCTTTCCATGCCTCTTAACAAAAACAGTATCTTGCAGATTTTTTTGCCCTATAGCAGCTCCCAGAGTGAGGTTCA